GAAGTGATTTAATTCATTACTAATATTCATACAAAAATTAAATTAGAAGTTTAGAATTAATAGAAATTAATTATTAATTTTGTGTCACAATATTTTTCTACATGTTCCTTTGAAATATATAACGAAAGTATTTTATAATGTTTTTAGATCTCATAATCCAACTAGGTGGATGTTCTTTGGACTCATCAAGTGTTTTCTATTTTCTAGNTCGGACTTTAGTCTACTTTGTAGAGGAGCTTTAACAAAACTTTAGTCTACTTTGTAGAGGAGCTTTAACAAGAGAGTAGGAGCTTTAGCCTTTAGATGAACTTTAATAAAATACATATTTTATATTGGTTCATTCTACCTGAGCTTTATCATAGTCTTTAACAAAACCGATCTTTTATGATGTGATAGAGTAGAAGGTTTCAAGTGAAACATTCTTAGAATGTTCTTCATCCTAACAATGTCTTTTTATTGGGTGTAATGATTTTGATTATATCTTTCCGCTTTAGTGATTTGCATAAATATCAAGAACACACGGGCATCGAAACACTTTATTGTACATGCATTTAATATTTTGAAGGTTGATAAGCTCTAAATCGTATTGCGTATTCAAAATATTTTATGAATTGTCATGTTATTAATAAATGCATCGTTTGATAAAACATACATATTTGATTGTGAGATGATATAAAACATTATATGCTTTATCAAAGGCTATTTGAATGTAGTGTTTAGCGATCATGTATTAAACCGTGTATATCATAAGGTTTTTTTTTCTTGAGTTCACATTGCATTGAATAAAACTTTCTTTTAACTTCATTGTTATAAGAGAGATAGAATTTCTTGTTCATAAAACGCTAGCTTGTTACTCATATCATCTATTAAATAATCAAAAAGAAATACACTTTATTTTCTTATACATTGTTCATAAACTGAGTTCATGAGATAGTTTTGTCTAAAAGACGTTGTTCATAATCTTAATTTTGTATAAAATAGATGTCAGAAAATATTATTCTTTTAAACATTATTTCTTTAAAATAACTTTTCATACACAATGACATTTTGTTTGATATTTTTTTTAAACTTCATAATCTGAATTGATTAGACAATTTATTCTCTGGATCTTGTCTTTTACCACTTTACAAAAGATACAAAACAAAGTTAAAATTATGAAATATATAGACAAAGTTATAATTAATTATGTGGTTTTTNGCATTTTAAGAAGAGTTGTTTGAAAGTATTGAATTGCAATAGTGAATTAAATTAGAGCATTCTAAAATTGCTTTCGATTATCTTAGTGTTGATTAGTAAAAAATTGTTTGAACTGTTATACATGTGTTACATAGTGCTAAAAGTTTAAGCTGAGCTTTTAAACTTAATAAAAGGGTTATATTGGATTACTTTAGGTTAATATAAAATGTGGTTAATTATTTAGAATTTTCTAATTGCATATAGTTCACTTAAGAGATGGAAAAACCACGCAGGTCTATTCTACAAAGGTAAGGGAATTTGTTTACGACATAAACCACTTAGCACTAACTAAAACCACTCACCAAGCTATGCAAATTCGCCTAGTGAAAGATATTTTGCTTATTGAATCTTAAATATGATCAAATTGTAATGATTACCTAAGTATTGTACTAATGTAAGAATAAGTTAGATACAATGAAATGTCTTTTCTTTATACATTTTATGTTTATCCCTCTTAACATGTTTTTTCTTAAATTGAATGTGAATTAGGGATTTTTACTGCATTATTTTGCATGTTGTGTATACATGAGTAACTATTTGAAGGTTGAATTATAAAGAAGTATTGAATGTTAATTTCATGAAATTGTTGAAGAATGAATGGAAAGTTTGGTTTATGCATGTTGAGTAATGTATCAATGTAGAATAAAAATTGTATTGAGAGGGTTGAGGCTTGGCAAAAATGTTGCATCTAGAAAGAGATTCAAATGGAATGTACTAGATGGAATTAAATAGTATGAGAAATTTTCCCTAGAACAAGAGTCATTGAATTAGATTGGATTTGTTGAACAATTTAAATTTATTCTTATGTTAATGATGATGTATGATCGGTAAATTGTACTTTGGTATAGATGAAACTATTGCATGGATGTTATATATGAAACTATTATCTATATGAATTTTGTATAAATGTAGTTATAAAATATGCGACTTATGAGAAATTATTGAATGAGTGTGATCTTGATTGTGTTATGGTAAACTGATGACCTAATGTTTGAAAGATTTGTATGTCTTTGATGTGCATTGTGATTGTACTTACAACCATTACATTTCTTGAAAATTATAGTTTGACATTAAAAGCATAGGCAAATTTAAGTAAAACTTAGCTAATATGTAGAATCAATTTTTATTGATGAAAGGTGTTGTTTTAAGAATTATGTAAATTGTGGTTAATGGTTAAAGGGAGATGAGAATTATCTAAAGTTAGATAATATACTTAATTTGCACTAAAGCTAGTTTTTGTTGCATCACCGTTGGGCGTTAATTAAGCATTGTTAGGAACCACTTTAAAAAATTTGCAAAATAGAATTGTTCTAGGGGTCTCACCACTAGGATGTGCCTAGATACTATCGGTAGTGACAAGACAATGGAATGGGCCTTTGACTTTATGACGTTGGGGGTGATTACCTAGTGTCAATTGGTAACATTGTAAGACTTTTTCCTACTAGAGGTGGTTTATATTTTACTAAATAGTTTTCTTTGCATACCACAAATTATATTTATGATTATATTGAGTTATCTTTGAAAATATAGGAATACTTGTGAAAGAAATTGACTTCAAGAGAGTAGGTAGCCTTTAGATGGGAAGTCGGACTTTAGTCTACTTTGTAGAGGAGCTTTAACAAAACTTTAGTCTACTTTGTAGAGGAGCTTTAACAAGAGAGTAGGAGCTTTAGCCTTTAGAAGAACTTTAATAAAATACATATTTTATATTGGTTCATTCTACCTGAGCTTTATCATAGTCTTTAACAAAACCGATCTTGTATGATGTGATAGAGTAGAAGGTTTCAAGTGAAACATTCTTAGAATGTTCTTCATCCTAACAATGTCTTTTTATTGGGTGTAATGATTTTGATTATATCTTTCCGCTTTAGTGATTTGCATAAATATCAAGAACACACGGGCATCGAAACACTTTATTGTACATGCATTTAATATTTTGAAGGTTGATAAGCTCTAAATCGTATTGCGTATTCAAAATATTTTATGAATTGTCATGTTATTAATAAATGCATCGTTTGATAAAACATACATATTTGATTGTGAGATGATTTAAAACATTATATGCTTTATCAAAGGCTATTTGAATGTAGTGTTTAGCGATCATGTATTAAACTGTGTATATCATAAGGTTTTTTTTTCTTGAGTTCACATTGCATTGAATAAAACTTTCTTTTTACTTCATTGTTATAAGAGAGATAAAATTTCTTGTTCATAAAACGCTAGCTTGTTACTCATATCATCTATTAAATAATCAAAAAGACATACACTTTATTTTCTTATACATTGTTCATAAACTGAGTTCATCAGATAGTTTTGTCTAAAAAACGTTGTTCATAATCTTAATTTTGTATAAAATAGATGTCAGAAAATATTATTCTTTTAAACATTATTTCTTTAAAATAATTTTTCATACACAATGACATTTTGTTTGATATTTTTTTTAAACTTCAAAATCTGAATTGATTAGACAATTTATTTTCTGGATCTTGTCTTTTACCACTTTACAAAAGATACAAAACAAAGTTAAAATTATGAAATATATAGACAAAGTTATAATTAATTATGTGGTTTTTCATTATTATAAGATTTTTACTTTTATTTTTATTTTATTATGATCATTTCAAGCCTATCTACATTCTAGTCCTATTATATAAATCTTGATATAAGTAAACAAATAGTTGTTCTAAAGTTTTTATTATAGGCTTTTTTTATTATGATTGAATTTTCTTTCTAAAATGTTTTAATACTTATTGAATTTATTGAATCATTCAAGAAAGATTGATAGATATCTTTTTTATCATATCTTTTTTTAACTTTTAAAACAACATGTTTTTATTGTACCTTTGATTTAATTAATATAAAGAGAAAAAATAATTATGATAAGATAGAAAGGAGATATTATAACAAGTAAATATACATTAAAGTAATAATAATGTAACTTACTTAAAATTATATGAAAAAATAGAAAGACTGAATTATTTATTTAAATTTAGGTGAAAAAAACATTCAAATGCTATTATTATAAACAAACAGAAATATGATTTCTTATCTAATGAAATTCATTTATGATATCACAAAGTATAATAAATAATATAATTAATGAAGAAGAGCATTAAAAGCTTCTGAAGATATAATATATTCTTCTAGTTCTGTTTTTAAGTTTTTTTTTTAAATTAAGAAATACAATAAATTAATGAAAATAGTTTTTATTTCAATAAAAAAATTATATTTTTTATTTTTATATTTATTTATAAATCAAAATAAATAAATAATTAATTAATTAAGATAACTAAATATTTAAATATATAATAATAATAAAATAAGTAACGTTGTTTTAAATTAAACAAAAAGAATTCTTTAAAAAAATTCAAAAGAGTAATGAAATCTTTATAGTGATAGAATTATTAATTTTGTATTGGAAATACAATTTCGTGCAGAAATTTTTTATTATAATGTATATATCATTTAAAATTTAAAACCTACCTATTTATGCAGAAAAAAAGATAATTAAAAATAAAACCAGATGAGCGTTGACCGATTAACAGGGACATTTTAGTCTTAATATGCGGGAACGGCTACGACTTGGTGAGAAACTAGGAACAATGTATCATGAAAATTAGTGCAAGGGTCTTAGGCACGACAACAAAACCACTAACAATGCTCCACGTCATGGCTCGTAGCTACACTCTCTCCTCCGAGCTAGTAGAACAGAAAAAGAAAGAAGAATAAACACAAATAAACAAAACACGGAAACAAATCTATTTGGGTGATTATTTTCCTAATTATTTTTTATTTTTTATTTATTTTTTCTCATTTCCCCTTCCTTTGGTTGCCACAGTTCTCACAACCATTCTCCTCTCCCTCTCCAACTCAGGAAAACGGTTTCCTCGAAAATATAAATTCCAATTCTGCACCTTTTGTTTCGAAAATTTCTCAATCCGCCATGCCTCCAGCCACCTCTTCGCCTACGGCTCAGAGACACGTTGGCTTCAGCCGCCGCACGCAGGCGCCGTTCCAGCTCAACGACTCCTCGAGTCAGCTCCATGATGACTCGCCGCCGGCGAAGAAGTACCGGCTGATGTCAGACATTATGGCGCGTGCCCAGTATGCGGTGGTGGAAAGAGAGACTTACAGTGACCTGTTGTGTGAGCAATGTGGTTCCGGTGAGCTGTCGGACGAGCTGCTTCTCTGCGACAAATGCGACAGAGGCTTCCACATGAAATGCGTGAGGCCGATTGTCGTGAGAATTCCGATTGGATCGTGGCTTTGTCCTAAGTGTCAGGGAGGGAAGAGAGTGCGGTGTAAGGGATTCTTTTACTTATCCTAACGTGTTTCTTTCTGCTGTGTTTTTGTCGAACCTTTTTTTTATTATGAATGTGGCATTGTGTCTGCCTGTTTCAGCTTTCTCGCAAAAGAGGATAATTGATTTCTTCGGGATTCGGAGGAGTTATTTTTATGCTGATGACAAGAGTTCTTCTCAGGGTAATAATTAATTACAGACATGTTTCTTTTGTTTTCTGATTGTTATCTGTTATTTACTCTTTATCTTTTTTCAAAATCCTTGTTTGAACAATCATTTCGAGAACAATGTGCATTGAGTGAATTGAATTGTGTTTCCAATTTACTTTTGGCTTGTGGTTGTAGTGTGGAGTGTTGGTTTTCGGTCATTCATATATGAAAAAAATACTTGGACATAAAAGATCGGCTCATGAATTATGTGTGTTATTTAGCTTTTGTGTTTGAAGTTTAATAGTGATATGCAATATAATGATCTTTTGGAATTTGTACTAACATTCTCTGAATGCAGCATGCATGCTTGGGTGGGACTTAATATACTTAGCCTTGTGGAATGCTGTTCCATGCTTGTGGATTTTTTCTTTTTGAATTACTTAGGATATGGGAGTACTGATGTTTTCAGAGCTCTGGAAACTTATAGTTTGATTTGTTTTAGATTATGGTGTTTATTGATGACATTACCAAATGGATGGTTAAATTGGATTTGCTGTGCTTTTGAAGATATCATAAATAGACAAATTAATGGTAACTTCAATTATTGTGGCTATTAGTTGAATGAACATGTATCATTAAAGTTATTTTTTGTTTCTTATATGTCTTTCTTTTTCATTATCCTGACATTAAGATTGAATTGAATAAACATGATATTGGATGAGAAGACTAGTATTTTTTTTTCTTTGGCATGAAAACTTGAAAGATACAGGTGAAGCGGATGAAAAGATTCGTATTTTTTGAGATTGCAGATTTTGGGGCAATCTGCCTCATGCAATGTCTATCTGAAACCTATTGTTTGAAGGCAAAAGAGGCCATCAAATGTCTAAAGGTTTAGTAGCAATTACAGTAGTCTTTTCTCACGGGGTTTTTAAACAGTAAAAATGATAATCCTCTTTTGAAATGTCTTTTCAAATTCTATGTGGATGTTGGATTAGGTAGTTTTTCACACTTGTTTTAAGACACATATATATGCCTTCATACCTGTAGAAAAGTATACTAGACCTATTTATTTCTTTCATGAATAACTTTAAACTGTAAATTCCCTTGGTTTTGTATGCTTAATTTAAAAAGGTATGTTAAACTTCTAATGTTTATATAAATTGCAGCTAAGACTGAACAAAATTATAGCAGTTAGGTCAAATTTCAGTGTATGAAATTGATGTTTTCTTAATCAATGTCATGATATTATTCTTTTTTGCAGCATAACCTGAATGGATTAATTTGAGCCCCAGTTGAGAAGTAAAAGTACAATGATATTTGGAATAGATAAACAAAAGGCTGTAAACATTACTTGACGGCATAGTTAATGTTTCCAAAGAACGAGAAAAATAAAATAAATGGTGGAGTCATGATTTATATATAGATTGTGGAAATAGAAAACGATATATTGTAGATTTAGATTGATTTGAAAACGATATGTCATTTGGCAACAGATAAAGTTACTACAACAACTTTTCATGTAAACTAGAAAGATTTTGGCTTCTTGGAAAAAACTTTCGTACACTCTGCATTTAAGTGAGCTATTCATTACATGTAATGAAGGGTGCAGAATAAATGATGCATGTTAATTTCAATATTTGCTTAATTTTTTGATGAAATATATTCTTGTTTTCTTTTATTTGCTAGAGTAGCAAACATTTCTTAGTTCATGTTTGTTTTTACTTCACACTGGATGGGTGTACCATGAATCTTTATGTGGTGTTTTTTCTTAGCAAAGGAGGCAAAAGAAAAATACTTAGATACTTTGCTTCAACTTATATGATCATATTCTTAATATTCAGGTAGTTTGTAGCGGGAACTTTTCAGTATACCTATGCCTTAACTTTGTTGAATGTCTATATAATCCTAAACTCATGATATATGATTGGAAATTTATTTTCTTGATTTATTGTTTTCAACTTCTAGATGCAAAGAAGCGTAGGAAACGTTCAAGACCTCTGGTATTACATAAGAGAAAAAGGAGATTGTTACCATTTGTTCCTACAAAAGATCCTGCTCAGAGATTGAAACAGATGGGTTCCCTTGCTTCTGCTTTAACAGCATTAAATATAGAATTCTGTGATCACCTCACATACTTGCCTGGAATGGCTCCTAGATCTGCGAATCGAGCCGAACTGGAAAACGGTGACATGCAGGTTTCAGATAATCATTTTTCTATAGATTTTGTACCCCTATAAATGGACCTGTATCTAACAGGCTAACTAATTAAGTATGCACATTTCCCTTGTGTTATTGGTTGATTAAATGTTTTTATTGTTTGCTCTCAGATTCTTTCCAAGGAAGACTTAGAGACCGTAGAACACTGTATTGCTATGTCTAAACGAGGCGAATTCCCTCCCTTTATGGTTGTTTACGATTCGTGTCAAGGGTACCCATCTTGAACTCATCACCGTGAAATAGGAAATCAACTTGTGATATCTTAATGACATTTCGTGATTGTGCTGTAGCTATACTGTTGAGGCTGATGACCTAATCAAGGATATGACAATTGTTGCTGAATACACTGGCGATGTGGATTACCTTCACAACCGGGAACGTGATGATTGTGACAGCATGATGACCCTTCTTCTTGGAAGAGAAAGTTGTCAAAGTCTTGTTATCTGTGCTGATAAACGTGGAAACATCGCTCGCTTTATAAGTGGCATAAACAATCATACACAGTAAGCGTGTCTTGTTTATCTCCTACCAAGTCTTGAACATAAAGAATTACAAGAGTATAGGGGAACAAATTAAACGGATCATTTCACTTAAGATTCCTTCTCTCATGTTGACATACTTCTTGCACTCCAATGTATAGATTGTTTGGCTTTAGAATGCTCTTTAAAGAGCTGAAGATTTTAAGATTCAAACTTTACTTTTTTTATTTTTCATGTACTATGATTTTGCTAACTCTTAATTTATTGTATTTAACGCTAAACCAATTGTGATGCAGGGAAGGTAGGAAGAAACAAAACTGCAAATGTGTGAGATACAATGTTGGTGGTGAATGCAGGGTCTTTTTGGTTGCTACTCGTGACATTTCTAAGGGAGAAAGGCTTTATTATGATTACAATGGTTACGAGTATCATTACCCGACTCATCATTTTGTCTAAGTGAACGACATAAAATACCTACTAAAAGACATAAGATACCTGCTATGAGGGAGAATTGGAATGCAACTTTAGATCCTCTGGAAAGGATTTTATTTATATTCTTAAAATTTTCAACTCATTGCTTTTGCAGATTCAACAAATTTCTTCCTAAATTACCGGTATAGGAAATTCGTTGTAATTTATGCTGTAGAGCTGCTCAATTATGCGGCTTAGAGTACCTTAGGAAACTTTGTTCATTTAGGTTATATCTCAGAAGATGAGATATACATTTTTTCATCAATACAATTTTAAGTCATTTAAAGGATCATCAGTCTTTACTTTGAAGAGATTGCGTTAGATCTTTATTTTGTTTTCCTTATCTGTATTCCTTTGAATATTGGTTTTGAATGAAATATTGGTCAATCCTGTTTTGTATAACCTAATTAAGCCGTGAGAGATAAGAAGTATGAATACACTTTAAAATACTTATTTAGAGTTCTCTCATTTAAAGGTTTTTCTTGTATGCATTTTCTATGTTTTGTATGCACACCTTACCTTAATCAGATTAAATGAGCATTATTAGGCAGATATTTCAATTTCCGAATGAAATTCATGTTGGAAATTCAGAAATTGATATTTTGTTTTAGTCTTTATTGTAATTTAGTTTAGAATTTCTGGAGCACGTATACATTTAGTAAATTATAATTTTGTGATTTGTATGATCTTTATACCATGGGATCTCTTTTAAATGAGGACACCACATTGATATGTAGTTTAACAATGTTTTGTTTTGTTTTTGTAGAGATGTAAATGCCTCTCATTGAAACAGAGTTGGAACTTTCAACCAACACAATCGTTAGTAGTTAGTATTTTTATTACTGGAGAAGTTGAATCCACAACTTTTTCTATCATTCACTTCAAACCTTCCAAACGTTATTGAGGAATTGAATCCATAATGTTTCACCCTCTTCTCCAATTTTACCACTAAATCAACTTATAACTCTTATGTCTTCCATGAGTTGTTAAATCTCTTTAATCGCTTCCCTCAATAACTTATGAAAGGTATTGGACTTATTTTAAATTAGTTCTTTTAGGCTCTTATCTAGGTTTGCTTCGTTTTAAATCTCTCTTCCTAAGTAAAGTCATAGGTTGCTGTTTTATTTGGCAGATTATTTATGCTTGAACTATTTTTCTTTTGAAAACTATGGCATCTTCCATATTGATTTTTGTGTGAGGGTCAACTATTTCAGTTGTGGTCTACCACTTTGATCGACAAACATATGAAGAGTGCAATTTTTGTTTTGGAATAGGTCACTCTAGTTTATACATCACATGGAAAGTTGAACAATTTATACTGGTAATTTTGGATTACCATTTTTAGTCAACTAAGTTGGTTGAAAAATTGCATCGATTACCTTTCACAAGTTTCTTTTCTTAATTATACTTTTTCTCATTCACAAGCTTAGAAAAGTTATTTAAAATATCTATTTTCAAAATTACTTAGAATCAATATCATCTTAATAATTTATACACTCGTTGTTATAAAATAATTTCTTCATGATCATCTCTATTCCTAAATTTTAATTAACAAAAGTTATTTAGAGAAAACAAGAAATAATTTATGAATTTGATAATATTGAAAGTATTTTATACCATTATTAAGTTTCAAATGGATGTCTATGACAATTTTGTTTTTATTTTTATAATAATTATTTTAAATGTTATAGTTAATAAAATGGGATAAAATATATAATTAACTCGATTCATCATATATTAAAGACATATTAAACAAAAATATATATAAATTTTGGTACAAATTAAAATTAAATTTATTATTAAGAATTCAATTCATGAGTTTTTTCTTCTATGTTATATAGGGGTTTTGATTTTTCATCGCTAATAATTGCATGTGTGAGAGAGAAAGATAATTTAAATGTGTATCTTATTATTTATTGGAAATAGGTATGTATACATAATCGTATAATCTAAATTAAGTATGTAATTATGCACAACATAATTATACGAGATTTAATAGCTTAATTATAAGAATTTGTATAACATCTCATTAAAATAGTATAATTACTATATAAGAATCATCACATAGTTAATACTATAGAACAATTAACTAGAAAGGAGAATATAAAGTCACTTATAGTTATATAAAACATAACTACAATTAACTTTATATACAATATCCTAAATCAAATCTATGTACAAAAAGGTTTATCTAAAACCAAAAAACACAAGTCTATACTAAGATAACTACACATCAGTGTCATCTTCACCTAAAGCTCGCTCCAAAGGCCCATCATCTCCTTCTGCTCACACCCACCAGATGCTCCATGGTCGAGAATTTACACAGCGTAACAAAACAACAAAGAACATAAAAAAATGGTAAGCTAATGATAAAATAATCCAACATGGTATATAAAAAAATTGCATCATATATCACATTTCATACAGAATAAAGCAAATATCCTAATCATGCTATAAACCTAGACTTGACCATCCAGATATAGTATAAATGTTGAGCCATGACGGGTTTTGCACTTGTGTGGTGGAACAACTGACACACTCAAAACTATCACACAAAGTTAGTTAGTTAAAATACCCTTTGCCAAAAAAGAGAAAGACCCCCAAGCTAGGACCTCCTGCTACTCTCATGACATAACTCATCTCTCTCTAATTGAGCATGGATAATCATTAGAGTGTTAGGATAACCCCCATATCCAGGCTTCTTACATTTATACCAATAACACTTGATACAACACTTAGAGTTTCTCCTTAGAAACTCTTAAACCATCTCACTTTGAAACATACATCAATTCTCATTCAAACCATTGATAACACACCATAAAACATACCAAAACATGTCATAATATACATTTCAATACTCAGAACAAACCACAAAAGTCACAAAACTGAAAAACAAAAGAAGAAAACCCTCTAGAGTGGTGCTAAGTGGCACCCTCCTACCGCTGAGCGCCATTCTTCTTACAATTTTGGCGCCTGAGCGCCACCCCCTTGCTGTTGGGCGCTAAACCTCTCGCATTTTTGGCACTCAGGCCTTGTTGACTACCACTAAGCGCCACACCAGAACCTAAACTACCTTTAATCTTAGCTTGGTTACTTACTGCACATATCTAATTGATCCTTATGACCTTCTAGACACTATGAATGATCTAAAAACAAGTTTCTAACTCAAAATAACTAACCTAACCCAACTTGACTACTCTAAACTACTTAACCTCACTTTCATTCTTTCAAAGCAATAACTTAACAAGTTAGGGGTCTAAACTAGTTACAAATCATCCAACTATAAACCCAAAACCTCTACATCAGCCTAAACCTACTACATAAAAATCTCACCACCCAAAACCTCTAAAATGGTACTTAAAACCTTCTAAAATCACCATATTGTCTCATGTCTATTTCCCATTCATATTTTCTTCAACTTAAGGTATCAACAAGTTTCAAATGACCATACAATATGTCCTAAATTGTCGTTTCTTCTCTCCGACCCTTATTTCTAAAATCACCTCTCAAAACCTCTATATTTGATCCAAAAGAACTCATAACTCAACATAAACCACCTATTCTCATCATTATACCCAATTTATCATCAACACACTTCAAAACAACAACATTCCAAACAATAATCAAATCCAAACAGATTCATTCAACTAAGTTTAATCATTTAAACACACTTAATACTAAAACACTCATCTCTAGCATAAAAATCAACATATATTCCACTCGTATAATTTTAATTATCAGTTCATACATCATAACTCAATTTAAAAAGAAAACACTAACTTCTCTTACCTTAAAGAGAATGCGACCAAGCTCTACATGGTGCACTACCCTTACTTAGAGCTGAAGGAATTTTAGAAACACCTACAAAACACAGAATTGTGATAAAAGAGAATCCTTAGAACCTCTAATAAACAAAGAACTAGAAAAGAAAGCCAAGGAAACATATGAAAGAAGAACCCTTATGGATTGCCTTAAACTAAGAACGAAAGGAAAAAGAAGTTGAAACTCACTAGCTTTATAATAGAAATTGATGGGTAGATGTTGGAGAATGCACTACGGTGATCTCCTCGGCACTTCTTGATCGTTAAACAGATGATCGAGGAGTAAGAAATTTTTATGGAGAAGGAGAGGGAACTCAGATAAAAATTTCTTTAGAGATAGCGAGTGTTTTAGATAATGAGACGAGTTTATGAAATTCTATTTATATTATTGAATTATTTTAAAATTAAAATACTTAGTCTCATTATTTTAAAACACCTATAAACTCTAATACTCTATTTTCTAGGTTATTACATTCTCTTCAACAACACAAAGTTTTGGCCTCGAAAATTAGACTTATCAGAGAACATGTGAGGATAAAACTCTTTCATGACTTCCTCTAAGTTCCACGTAGAGTCGCCTGTTCTTCTATCCTAGACAACATTAACTAAACTGGTCGTCTTTCCTCTAAGTTGCTTAGTCTGACTCTCCACAATCCCAACAGACTGAACATCCACTAAAAGATCATCTTTGACTTATACATCATCAAGTACATGAGAGGGGTCTAACACATACTTCCTAAGCTGTGAAACATGGAATACCGAATGAAGATTTGACAATTGAGGAGGCATAACTATCTCATAAGCCACTGGTCTCACACGACGTAGAATCTAATAAGGACCAATGAACCTAGGAGACAACTTCCTAGAACGAATAACTTTTCCCACACTAGTGATAGGAGTCACTCAAAGAAAGACATGGTCCCCAACTGCAAACTCAAGCGATCTCTGTCTCTAATCAACATAAGACTTCTGTCTGCTCTGAGATGCCTTCATCCTTTTTGTGTATCAACCTAAACTTTCCATGATCTACTGAAGCAACTCTGGCACTATCAACACTGCTTCTCCATCCTAGTACCAACACAAAGGCGTCCTACACATTCTGCCATACAATGCCTCAAATAGTGCCATGTCGATACTTGCTTGGAAGCTATTATTGTAAGTGAACTCCACCAACGACAACACTTCATCCTAAACTCCCATATGATCCAACACACATGTCCTCAACAGATCCTCTCAAGATTGTATCGTCCTCTCTGACTGACCATTTGTCTAAGGATGATATCTAGAGCTCATCCATAACCTACTATCTAGCGCATCCTAAAGAGACTGCCAAAACCTCGAAGTGAATATAAGACCCCGATCTAACAAAATACTTAAAGGTATGTCATGAAACCTCACTATTTCCTTGATGTACAATTATGCCAGCTTTACATTCACTGCCAAGAAATGAGCACTCTTGGTCAACTTGTCCACTACAACCCAGATAACATCATGACCTCTACCCGTCCGTGGTAAATGAGTAAAAAATTCCATGTCAATGCTATCCCATTTCCACTCAAGCATATCCAATTACTGCATCAAACCACCAAGTCTTTGATGCTCCACTTTAGTTCTCTGATAGGTCAAACACGCCGCTACGAACTTTGCTACATGCCTCTTCCTCCTAGGCCACCAGAATGATTCCTTGAGATCTTGATACATTTTAGTCATGCTAGAATGCATGCTAAAATGAATTTGATGACCTTCCTCAAGAATCAACCTCTTTAACTTCACATCCTCTAGAACACAAACCCTGCCTCTGAACTTCAAAATCCTATTAGCCCCCAACAAAAAATCTCTAGCCTAATCTGAACCTAGCAAACTCACTATCTTCTAGAGCCCAATATCTAACAATTGCCTCTCTTTGATCAAACCTAAACTCCTGACCATCATATAAGATACATGAATTTTTTTTCTTGATTAGAGCATCTACCACTACATTCGCCTCACCAAGATGGTACAATAGATCAAACTCAAAATCCTTCAAAAACTTCATCCATATTATATGTCTCATGTTCAATTCCTTCTGATGAAACAAATACTTTAAGCTTTTGTGATCACTGAACACCTGAAATTGTGTACCATACAAATAGTGCCTCTAAATCTTCAAGGAAAACACCATCGCTGCTAACTCCAAGTTATGAGTAGGGCGTTTCTTCTTATGAGTCTTAAGCTGCCTTAAAGCATTTATAACTCCCTATTTTCCCTATTTTTCTATGATAAGACTCTTCTTTTAGGCCACTTTAGCTTTTAATTCTCTAGAAATAAGATAAATTAGTGTAAATAGGGTAAAAATAGGGCTTTGATAGAAATACAATTAATTTTCTCTTTTTATTTAAATAAAATAGATTTTTAAATAAATAGGTTCTTTTCCTATTAGAAAAATATTCAGAAAATAAAAATAAAATTTCTTTTTGTTGTTATAGGCTTTTATTCTTTCTTTTGTTGTTTAACCCTTCTTTAACTTCTCTCTTTTTGCAGGTTAGCCTCTAGTCAACTAGGCTGGAAAGTCAACAACAGAAGTAAGGGGAGATGGTGCTTAATTGGAATGAATTGAGATGGGCCAGTAACGAGCTGAAGTGCACCATTTTTGTGTTGGATTGGGCTGAAGTCCTTTAAGCAAAATGTGCAACTCCACTTAAAAACGTGCACTATTTTGACGATTCAAAAGTTGCTAGGGTTCAGGTGTAGAGAAAGAGAACGCAAAGAGAAGATGCTCGTGCTCATGCCACCTATCCAAAAGCTTGAAGGACAATCAAGTCTCACATGCTAATTTTCAAAGAAGAAAGAGATAATCCAAGGACTGAGAAGAATGAAGCAGTTGGTGTTTAAAGAGTTAGTTAGAAGAAGAATCGTGAAGCCAAAGTCGTTACTAGGTTTTTCCCCTTTTTTACCTTTTCCCTTTTTGTTTTCTCCTACATAAATGGAGATGTGTAATAGGTAGAATAGATAGAGTGAGTGGTGGGTGACAGTGTAAGATCCAATTAAAATTAGTGTTTTTGTGTTTTTGTGATTTTAGTGCGCAACTCCATTCTTGTGATTTTAGTGTTTTTGTGTGAAAATTAGTGTTATTGAGTGTACACTTTGGTAAGAACATAATTGTTATGTTATTTTATTTATATTTTGACCAAAGGGCAAAATGGACTTTTATACTTTATTCATTAGGTGTAAAAATTAAAATAGGGAGGTGTAGAAAGGAAAACCATGCAAATTAAATAATATGGAAAAATAATAAAATTATATTATATAAATATTTTATAAGATTTAGTTGTTTTTATTTTAAGAAGTGGTTGAAAGAAAATAGGGGATATAATCTTCTTGGGTTTAAAGATTAAAAGAAATATTATTATTAGGAAAAATCGTTATTAGATATTGTTAGATATTTTAAAAGATATTCTAAGATATTGTTTATTAAAAGATATCTTGAGATATTATTAAATATTATATAATAATAATAATAATAATAATAATAATATATTATTGATAGATTAATTATAATAAATTAAAATAAAAATATTAAGATATAATATATTATATAGGGACTTATCAGGATTAATAAGTTAAAGATAAATTTATTTTATCTTATCTATATCTTTTATTTGAGTTGGTTGTTATAACCCTTTATGAACTTTTATTATAAATAGAGGGCCCTATAGATATTCCACACAATTGTAACTATATTAGACACCTCCTATAGAAACTCTGGCCATTAGAAAAATAAGGCAGAAGCCTAAATCCTAAAGGTGAGAAAGAGAGAGAGACATTCTTGGAGAGAAGAAAAGGATTTAGCTTCAGAAAACTCTAGTGCAAAGGGATATTTGTTGTGATCCTTGGAGTGTAGATAAAGCCCTAGTATTAGCCAAGGTAAGGGGAACTTACATTCATGATTAGTTACATCCTTAATTTCTTTATTCTTGATTCTTGATTCTTGATTTGTTGTTTTCTTGTTTTCTGTCTTGCCTTGTTTGATGGAAGACCATTAAGGAATCACATTGGACCTCTTACTAGAGCCATGACAAGGAAGATTCAAGAAGAAAAAAGATCACCTAACATTTTGCTTCTATGGAAGGTTACTTATTAAAATCCTTCTTCTCTTATCTAAAATATTTGTACTATTGTTGTGTAGGGTCTAATAAAACTTGGAGACCATGATTGAGCTATCCAAGAAGCTTGAAAAGCCAAGGAAAGCAAAGGAACTTAAAAGGGGAGAAGAATGAAGACTTTCCAGGTTTGGCAGCTTTGCTTCCGGATTAGAAATACAAAGGGAAATGACGTCCAGATTGCAATCTACGCCCAGGCACAACCTTGGCGCGCCCAGGCACTACGTATCAGATTTTGCAATCCACATGTTTTCTTTGTTTGCTTGGAGTGGGAAGCGTGACCCAGCTAACTTGGCTCCCAAGCTCGACTTTTATTTGAATTTTTGGAGGGAATTAGGCCAAAATTGAGTTCCCTCTTCACCTATAAATAAGAGGGCTTCTCTATTATAAAATTCACTTTTGAGCTTAGTGAAATGCTGTTGAATTTGTTTTCCAACCCTATTGCTCTTTAGTCACTATTGATTTTCGAATTCTCTACCCTTTCCTCTAGCTTCCTTCCTTTGTAGGAGGGCTTTTTGGGCTGAGAGGTCTCATACACTCACCTTCTTCCACTTAAACACATCAAAGCATCACTTATTTTCATCCATTTCTGTTGCACTTGTTTTGGTTCTTTCGTGAACCTACTCCAGGCTTGATTCCAGCTGGAGTTGGCTTCCATCATGTGGTATCCAGAGCTGTGGTCGTCCATGCAGCCATAACTATGTCATTCCTTCCATTTTCTACTTCATTTGTGTGCCACATGTGTTGTTCTGTTTCTGTTTCTAACTACTGTTTTCATTTTTTTTTTTATTTTGTTCCATCATGTTCAGTCATTGTTTTAGTGTTTCGAGTGTGTGAGCATGTTTACTTTTCATTTTAAACGTTGAATCATTCTTGTTTGTGTCATTTATAGCTTCATTTTTCAATTTCAATATTGTCTTACTCATGTGCACTTTGTTGATGCAGTTTTAGTTTTGTTTCTGTTTTGGTATCATGTTCTATTGGTTTTTTTTATTTGCTGGAGTTCAAGTGCTAGATAAGCTATAAATCTACCAATAAAGGCAATGAAGACTTGTTCTAGCCTTGGTTATACAAGCTATAAAGCACCAAAAAAGCAAATCTCTTTTTAATTTTGCTTTATTTTGTGCAGAATTTTCTTTTCTGGTTTGAAACTTTAAAAATCTTTTTAGTTGCTTTCCATTGATTTTCACTAGTGTAGAAAGGGCTTTAGACGTCCGTTCTTTTGGCCTCTTGACATCCGATGTTCCCCCGACGTCTTTGTGGGTGACGTTACTCAGACGTCGGGGGGTTCACAACGGACGTCTATATAGACGTCCGTTGTGTCAGGCCGGACGTCTATATAGACGTCCATTATGCCAGGCCAGACGTTTATATAGACGTCCGCTGTGTTAGGCCGGACGTCTATATAGACGTCCGGCTCCTCCCCCCGGACGTCTACCTGCCTGAATTGTTTGTGGTAGGGGCTGAGGGGTTGGACGTCCGTTTGTGCACTGCCAGACGTTTATAGACGTCCGACTGTGCACTAACCGACGTCTACTAGGCTTTTTTTTAAAAAAATCAATTTATTTTTTCAATAAAACCACACCTGAAAAGCAAAAAAATGTCCCAGAACAATTTTGCAATAATATAAATATGTGTTTCATATAAACAAAGTTCTACTTAATGTGGAGTT